GGATTAGAAGTTGTCTTCAGGACTCACAGATCTGCAAGCACCTGATTGAACAAGGTGCCACTCCTTTAGGACAATTTAACAAGGAAACGCTTTCTGCTCTTCAGGTATGTACAGATTCATAAGTATTGCATCTTTTGTTGCTCTCCATACCTGCATGGTTGTCATTCTTTTTTCTTTTTGAGCTAAAACTTGAGTTTTTCACTTGAGGGGAGAAGGGGTTTTCTGTTTTTGCTGCCTCGCTCTAGATCTGGATACTCAATTGGAAGATATCTTTAGGGGCTGGGACTGTGTGTCAGTAGTTTGTTCTTGTTGGTATAGTAATTTTACTTTTTTAAGTTTCTTGAGAAAGGGTATTGATCTTCACTTGGAATCACTAACTGCCATGGATCTGTTATATTTGAATGATGGTTATTGAGTAGTTTCCTAAAGTTGAGAGACTTGACTAGAATCTCGACTTAAAATGTTCTGCTTTTTGTCTGAGACAGATTGGTGATGCTGCTTGTATATATTTCTTGTTGCAAAAAGTGGTGTGGTGCATAAAGTGGTGCCTTTAAGAATAATGATATATCAATTTACTTGACCCTATTGCTTATTCTGTCAATTTTTGTTTTGCTATTATACATGTTCAAACAAGTATCTCCAGAGGAGAATAATGGCATTCAACTTGTTGCTGTAAAATCATAAATTGTCCTGCTTTGGATTGATTGCATTTTCCATTTTTGAATTGGAAGCATGTTTTTAATACATTTGACACATTGTTGAACTGCTAGGTTGTTATAAACTAAGATGTTCCTTTTGTGATTTTGAGAATCGTCTCCTGGTTGATGTACTAGTTGCACGCCTCAAATTTCTGTGAAAGAATCTGTAAAATTTTCAGCTTCTGTGCCTAAACTCGATGTCTTGGAAAGGTTCTTCACAGATATATGACTAGATTGAAATTAGTTCATTTGCAGTTAAATCGTTTTTATGTTGTCTCTCTCATTCTCTGTTCATTTACTCTTGCCAGTCTGGATGCTGCAAGCCACCAGATGAGTGCAAATTCACCTATGTCACCCCAACCAACTGGACAGGAACAGCAGGGTCTACTAATCCAGACTGCACGGCTTGGAGTAATGATCAGAAAGTTCTATGCTACAACTGCCAATCATGCAAGGCTGGTCTGCTGGACAATATCAAGAGTGATTGGAAGAAGGAGGCCATTCTGAATATTATAGTGCTGGTCTTCCTCATCATAGTATACTCTATAGGATGCTGCGCATTCAGAAACAACAGGGAGGATAATGCATGGAAGCGCTACCCTTGAGCGATCAAGCTCATATCTGAGTAGATATTAGAGTTTGGATTGAAACTGGTTTTCTAATAATGTATGCAATACAACTTCCTACCTATTTGTTAGTTGCTTCTATGTATAGCTTGATTTTGCTCATTCAGACCATGTTGGATGATTGATTTCCTACGTTAATGCTTAGTTTCTATATAGACTTTTCAGTCTTTGACAAAAACATTGGCAGATTTCCCTGCCATTTTCAGATCTGCTTCTGAACAGGTTCTGCTCTGCGTACTTGAGTTTGATCTCTAAAGTTTTGGCCTTCAAAATTTGTCGGATTTTTGTCCATTCTTTCTCTCTTTAATGCAGGAAAGACTTCCTGTTCTTAATGCCACGTTTTCTGGTGCTTTTCTTCTAATTAAGAAATAAAAAATTTTTCTGCTTGATTACCTGCAAAAAAAGGGTAAGTTGCTCCTCACTGTTTTTTTATAGTGGCCAACAATCATTGATTTAGATATGCCCTTATTCCTCTCTTTGCTTAAAGCTTTGATTTCTTTTGTGGCGGGCTCCAGTTTGAGTCCTATGCAGTTTGTTAATTGTCTACGCTATTGTGATTTAGATTAGGCCTGTCAAAGGTCGGATCTAGACCTGGATTCGCGAAATTATTGCAGGTATAGGTAGGTATTTAATTCCGTTTCCCGGATTCGGATTCGTTTTGTCAAACAAAAAAACGGGTCGGATACGGAATATAGTATTCCGACCTGTATTAGACCCGGATCCGGATATAAATGAATTAATAATTTAAAAAATATATATTTATCAATATAATTTGATTAGGGTGATGTATTTGAGTAAAGTCAATTTGATTTCTTTTCTTATTTGGTTTTTTCTTTGCATTAGTTAGAAATTAGTTTATAAATATATTTTTTTCTCATTTTTATTAGAAATTATAAATTTTGCTAAATTTGTTCGGGTAAACCCGATCCGGATCCGGGACCTGCCGGATCCGGATCCGGAACATAGAATAAAAGACCCATCGGGTAAACGGATCGAATCCGGGTTCGGAATAATGAATTCTGGCTCGGACCCGGCCCGTTGACAGCCCTAATTTAGATGCTAAATTCAATTTGACCAAAATCCAGATCACTCCAAAAGTTCTACCATGTGGCAGAAATATTATTAAGGGCTAGGCAATTGAGGTTGTCAGGTGGATTAGGATGCATCGCACTTGTCCTTGGGTTTCTGAGTCTGATTATGCATTCATTTGCTTCTATCTCATCTTATTGATTTTATCCCCAATTGTGTGGTGAAGGATTTTTTTTTTCTTCTTTCACCACCAGACTTTGCAATAGCCCACCGGACACTGGGGTCAGATTTCAAATTATCCTTTTGAGTTAATGGAAGTCGACGTCCCTTTCTGTCTCTCCAATTATTTGCAGGACCAACAATGAAAAGCTGTAAAGAGTAAAGACCCATCATCTCTGGGTTTTCGTCGTTCACTCCTCTCCATACCTACCATTGTTGGTGGGTTTTGTTGGTTGGGATCGTACATGTAATTTTTGCTTTTTGATGGAAATAAGTAATTACCATCACCCAAGAGTCAATTGAATGTTCCCTGCCAGTCAATATATTTGGCCTTTCTTATGATGACTTCTTTTTTTTTTTTTTTTTTTTAATTTCAAAAGCTGGCTAGACTGAATGGTAGAGTAGCTCAATTTTGTTAGTGCTGTTGTTGGTGTAATGTGGCTTTCAACCATCCCCTTCTACTGTTTCATCTCAAAACAATCATTTAGTACTTACTTAGCTTTGAGAAATATGCAAAGAAAAATAAAAGTTAAATATAGACACCTGCACAGTCACCACATAGTACTGGAATCTATACAACTAAGCAAAGAAAATAAAACTGATCACAATCACTATATTCTATACAATCAACAGAAAATTTGCATTGAAAAGTTCCAATGTAAAGTCAGCTCCCAATTCTCTCGAGTCTTTGGAATTCTCCTCCATCCAGCTATTGGCATGACGAACATATCTCAAGAATTTCATAAAGAATCAATTGAAATGTTCTAAGATTCCTTTTCCTCCATAATGTATAGGCCAAGTTAGGGGTGACTCGTGGAGTACAACTTCGACTTAATCAAGTCGAGGCTCAACATAATTTTACGAAACTCAAATTCGAGTTCGAGTTTAAAAAGATAAAAAATAGATATTTTATTTTTAATAAATAAATAAAATAATAATTTTTCTTAATAAATAATAAAATATTAGGGATATATATGTTATTTTATTATTAAAATAAAAAATAATATATATATATATATATGTATATATTCGAGTTCGAACTGACTCGCAAGCTAACAATAGTATTTTTCAACTCAAATTCGACTTGGTCAGCAGATGAAACTAGGAACTGATATTTTGGGCAAATCGGTATAAGATATTTTCCAAGAGCTGTTTGGAAAAGTAATACGTAATTATGAAATTCTAGCTTATTGTGGTAAAGTTGCGTCTTAGATTAGAAAATAAGCTAGTTTTAGATATTTCTTTGGTACATGAAAACGAGGCCATAAATTCCTCGAGGCCGATGGAACCGATAAGTTATCAATTTAAAGGGCTTCAAAATTCAATATGAGTAAATATATAAATTATTTAGCGAAAATGACCTGTTTCATCTTTCACATTTCGCAAAAATATTCTCTTCGTCTCTCACTTTTAAAATAAAGCAAATTCATCCCTGACATTTAAAAATTAAAACTATTACATCCCTGAACCTAATTTTCAATCTGAATCAAATCATTCAATAGCCCAGTAATAAATTTCGGAAATAGAATTGATAGATCACTCGGTCAATTTCATCATATTCACATGACATTTATTAAACCAAAAAAATAAAAATTATAACATAAAAGGTCATTCTTTGTCTTGGAATAGTGGGGATTTTTTTTTTGGTAAATCTTTTCATACATCGTTAGTATATCCGCTTGCGAATCTAGATGTGTATCATAAATATAAAATTTGGTGTTTAAATTTAAATTGAAATGATATGGCGGTTCATAAAACCGTCAGTGTATACAATGATAATGTAGGAAAGATTAATCTTTCTTTTTTATGTTATAATTTTTTCTTTTTTCTTTTTTGGTTCATTAAATTTTACATGAATATCAAGTTGAGTTAACCAAATGATCTACTAATTACACTCCCAAAATTTGTAATCAGGTTGATTGGTGGTTTGATTCAGATTGAAATTTGGGTTCAGGAACGTAAGAACTTCAGTTTTAAAATGTTAAGGATGAAATTGCTTCGTTTTAAAAGTGAGAGACGAAAAAAATATTTTTGTGAAATGTGAAGGATGAAACCGATCATTTTCCCAATTATTTATCATCCAAAGAATAAAGAAATCGGAACACTGGAGTCTTAAGGAATAAAAGGTATTAATCAATTTTTGCAATGCAGGTAATACCTTCCTAAGTAAATCTCTTTGTGGATGAACGTACAAGGGAACATGGTGATAGTTACGTTGTTTACGGGATTAAACATGGCATGGCACAGAAAATTGGACCTCGTTTCGAAATGCACCAAGATTGAGCTGGTGCTCCAGCCAGGTATAATATTGATGAACTCTTTCAAATTTATCTTCGATACAAAATGGTTGTAAAATGGAAACTATCAAATTAAAGTACAAAACTTACAGTATATAAAGGGCATCCAATTTCCAAAGGTGAGTGCAATTTCCAAGCTTGTGAAATCTTTCTCAGTGAAAAACGTGACAGCTGCAGATTGCAAGGCAACCATGAAGCACATCCTTGCATGCTGTTACGGGTAAATGATCGGGATAGCTCTTGGACACCGGCACCTGTTGAGAAAATGCAACACAAATATGGATATACTGTTAACTGATTCTCAAATTGTGTGATTCCAATAGAGAAATATCGGGTGGTTTCACCTGCAAAAGTTGCCAAGCTGACCGGCAAATTGTGCCTGCTAAGGGGATGAAACAACCAAGCAACCATATCTCATCTCCCTTTTTGAATAACGAATGCATTAGCTGAAGCTCCATGCTTAGAGTTCTTGGCCCTTTTAGTAATGGCATGCTTATGGCTCCAGCAACAGAGCTGATTGTTCCGATGATCTTGGCTATACTCCTGAAGCTTTGGATATTCACTTTCTCTAATCTGTAATTGACATATATTAAGGTACGGTATTCGAGTGAAATTTAAGAAATAATTATAGACAAAAAGAGTTCAAAAGAATTTATATAAGTTACTGTGCTAATAGATTTCTGTTGCTTTGAGATAACATAATAATTATGCAATCAAAAGTAAAAGGGATGAGATCATCCATTGTATATAGAATCATTTACTTTTTCATGATGAATGTAAACTCAGTCCTCTTTAAATTTGCATTAATCTCCTTGATAGTTACCCGACAATGTAGGCCGCCGCAAAAGTTGTTGCAGGAAGTAAATTGACCATTGCACTTGCTATTGAAGATGAGGCCAAATGTATATAGGCCCTTAAAATTGAGATTCTTGTTAAATGTTACTCTGCACAAGGAATGTATAGAGGAAAAACTTAATCAATTGGATACTCACATTAGTTTAGCTTCCACATACACACAGATACTCAAAAGAGAATAACTTACAAAATGAGGGATATTAAAAATAAGATTAATTTGATTTTACACCTCTGAACTTGTATCACTTTCTCACTTTGCGCCCTAAATTTTAATTTTGGACACTTTTCACCCTAAACTCTCATAGTTGTTCCATTTAAGTCCAATCAACTATTATATTCGCAAAATTAATGAGATAAAGAGCGATAAAAATTAACAACAATGTCCTGTTTTGTTTCGACTACGATTCCTTAGCTTTGTTGCTCATGTTTAGCACATTATCATTTATTTATATGATCTCAATTATTAATATTATTAGCAAATTAATGAGATAAAAGATGATACAAATCAATGATAGTGAAAAAAATAAAACAAATTAATGATAATGTATTGTTTTATTTTTGCTATAATACCTTGGCACCTTTTGATTACTTTTGGCACATTATCATTGATTTGTTAGATCCTCTATGCAGTTAATTTTTTAAAAGTTGTTATTAACTAGATTTAAATATGACGAACTTAAGAATTTATCATGTAAAGTGTCTCAAATTGAGAGTTTAGGGTGTAAAGTGTTCAAAATTGAAGTTTAGAGTACAAAGTGAGAAAGTGATATAAGTTCAAAGGTGCAAAGTGGAATTTGTCCTTAAAATATCAACCTCTTCCATCCTAAAGAATATCTACTTATCTTACTCCGGGCAACCCCAACCAAAAAAAAAAAAAAAAAAATTTTGTGTAAATTTTTATTTTGGGTCAATCATCACTTTCTACACTGCTCTTGCTCCTACACTATAACCTATCTAAGGGAGGGTCTAGCTAGATTAGGGGGAATCAAGGGGGACTGAATCACTATCGGATCAGACGGGTGCACTACACACCCGTTTGAATTTGTAGAAACCACTTATTAGTAACAAGTGTTGGGAGACAAGGGTCGAAACTTGACCACCCAACAGCCAAAGAGGCTATAGGTTTTCGTGTAATTGATCCAGTACATAATTTATGTTTCACATTCTGAGACGAGGAGAAAGGATTTAAAATTCCTATAAATACGCCTCTGTTTAAAATGAGCCACAAGGGCCACAAGCAAAGTGGCTATAGATAGCTGACCGCGAAAACCCTTGGACTCGTTCCCTGTAACAAGGAAGCTCTAGTGATGAAGTGATTCCTGCATAGAGAAACTAACATAACCATGACAATAAGAGGCTTTTGATCTTCAAAACCCATATTTGCAATTTTGCAGATTCTACGAAAAAGTTAGACCATATGAAGACTGACGTCGGAGTACATTTTGTTGTATATAAGCTTCAAGCATGCATGTGGGTGGGCACACTTTGTACAAAATTTATTAAACTATATAATGACCAAATTTTTTTGAAGTATCTTGTCAGCAACTAATGTGCAGATGCAATACAAATGAACTTACAAGATTTATACAAAAGATGACAAAAATTGTTGTTTCTTGGTCAACGTAAGCCAGTAAAACAATTTGCCATCCATCATTGAATGATAAATATTGATAATGAATCATCTCAGGAAGGCTTTGTCAGACCAGGATCTTTTCGAAATGATCCTTATCGAACATGATCATTCGTAGAAACGAGGTTGGCTCTTATGTAGAAGTGAGCTGGAAAATGTCATTTAGTAGACTTCTAGCATGATAAGAGCACAACTGTGGTTGAATGACAAGAGTAATTTGTGTTAATAACAATGGCGCGTTTAGTATGGTTCATGCTTCATTATGCTGAGATTGGCACTTGAATCGTCAATACCTAATTTTGCGGAAAGTTTGATTAATATAATTCACATGTAAAATGTACTAATTTGGTTGAACCACAAAGTTTGAAGAGAAACTTTGAATTTACATGATGCTTTTGAGATGATACTATTTTGTGAATTTTCTAGCGACCAACTCGACTCTCCAAAAAACCAAAAAAAAAAGAAAGAAAGAAAGAGAAAAATAACTTGTACATGGTAAAAGAAAGGGATAATTTCAGAAACCTCCCCTGAGGTTTCTAACAATGTCACTGAGCTCCCCTAAGGTTCGAAAAATTACACATACCTCCCTTGTCATTTTTGTCATTTAAAATGACAATTTTACCCTTAAATATTTTAAAGAAATTCTCTTATTTGGTATGCTTATACTTAGAATGAGTTTTAAAATTATTTTTTCATTCTTTTTCCTTTTTATTCCTTTTTTTAAAAATTTTTTGCCAATAAAATTGTAGAACTACCACTAATGCCTCTAAGTTTCTACTATAACCAAATGTCGAACTAGTGATTTTTTTGACGAGGTAATTTTATATGTAATCCAATGTTTTTGCTGATCTTCGTTTTCTAGTTTTTAGTATTAAAATTAACAATAAATCAAAAAGAAATGGCCCAAAAGTACTACTAAATTATGATAATACCACTACTCCAAAAATTTATAAACTCCAAATGAATTATTTAAACATTTTCTTTTCTATCTTATAAATTTAAATTCATAATAAAATGCCATAAAAAATATCATATCATAGTAATAAAATTATATTATAGTTGTTTATCAAATAGTAAATATAGACATGAAAAATTTGGCACCTTTTCCTTATAATTATACTAAATAATCTCATAATTGTGTAGAGAAGTAATTAAAACTCATTCCACAAGAGCATTTTTGAGTATTCATTTAAAAAATTGTCCAAGTCAATATTATTTTAAGATTTTGTTACTAAAACTATCAAATCAAGGAAGGTAAGTATTATTTTTCAAACTTTAGAGGAGCTTAGTGAAATTGTCAGAAACCTCCCTTGAGGTTTCTGAAGTTATCCCTAAAAGAAATTCTCTTTGTATATAGATCCCATCAAATATCTCAAATGATTATTAGAAATTTCAAATCAAGTTGTCCCTTGCCGGGGGGATAAAGGCTAATAACACCAATGATGAATGCCTAGAACCGGAAGCGCAATTACAAAATCTCTTCTTAGAAGAGGAGTCCTGTCTTCTTCACAATATTGAACCTCATTTATGTAGAAATACAGACTTTTCCCATCAATACTAATGTTTCTGATCATCTTTGAGATCTATTGTCTGTTTATGCAAAAGGGGTTCTTCCAAATCGATTCTACAACTCAATTTGTCTGTGGATTCATCGACAACGATTGTATAATTAATTTTTTCCTCCTCTGGCTTCTTTTCTACATCGCTGTTAATCATGTGATCTTTAGCTTTGCCCCATAGCACAATATACAGTCCAAATATTACAGCAATTGCACCGAGCAAGCTGAAAAAGATGTCTTTCTGTCAGATGATATCATATTAAACCATCACAAACAATAATCAAAGCATTGGTAAGAACTAATGAGAAAACTGGTTTTCTCAGCCAATTCCAAACTCAAGACAATCTATATCTCAATCATATTTGCTACCAATCACTTGCTTTTAAAACCTTATGTGGTAGAGTTATAATCAACCTTTTGGGATTTTCGGTTGGGCCCAAAAAATAACAAATGTATGTTATTGTGTGCCTGGATTTAAAATCAAAGTTGTTCTGTTGTGCTTGAATTCGAACACATTATTTTGTGTAACATGCTGAGAGAATATATTGCTACTAATTCTGTACACTCGAATTTGTTTGAGATTTTAACATGCTAACACTTCATGTTTTTCATTCAAATTCATCTAATATTCCCTCCATGACAATATATGATGTTCAAAATTACAGCGAGAGGTATTACCTTCCAATGTAGAGCTCTTCTCGAAAGAATGTGGAGGCGATAAAGGTCACAATGACAGTGGATAAAGGATTAAACATGGCAGAAAAAAGTGGTCCTCTTTTACATATGCACCAAGCCTGAGCAAAGAACGAAATTGCTGATGCTCCTGCCTATAATAGAATTAATTTATCAGTGGTCTAAGAGTAAAATTTTATGAACATAATTTTTTTTTTCAATTGAATGCAAACCTCACACTTACTGAAAAGAATAGACATCCAAGTTCCAGAGGTGTTTGTAATTTCCAAGCATCTAAGTCTTTCTCGATAAAGAATGCCACAATTGCCGATTGCCAGGCAGCAATAAAGCACATCCATGCTGTTAGAGATAAATGATCAGGATAGCTCTTGGACACCGGTGCCTGTGAGAAGATATAACGTGTTTAAGTGACTTTCACATAATATGATCTCAACAATGTTCGAACTTGTATACCTGCAAAATCAGCCAAATTGACCAGCAACAATTGCTTGCGAACAGTAGTAAACAACCAAGCAACCAAGTCTCACCTCCCTTGCTCAATCTCAATATTGAATGAATTGGATCAGAGTGAAACTCTTTGTTAAGTAGCTTCGGCCCTTTGAGTAACACCATGCTTATGGCTCCGGTAACACATATGATCGTGCCGAAGAATTTTGCTTTACTTCTCAAGCTTCGGATGTTTATTTTTTCTTGTCTGATAATATAAAAATATGAATTAAGAACACTAGAACAATATATTCTTGGGTTATTTCTATTATTAGCTGTTTTTGGGGATTTTTTCAAAAAACCTTACCGTAACTCTATATATGAAAAAACTTTACTATAAATGTTTTTAGGATGTTTTAAGGGTATTTATAGGGGATTTTTTCGAATGTATTTTGGAATATTTTTAGAATTTATAATTTTTTTAAAATATTTTTTAAAAAAAATTTACACCACCTATGACCACCACCCACCACCATCATCTCCTCCCTCCTCTCTCCTCTCTCTCCTTCTTTCTCCTCCTCCTCCTCTCTTCTCCTTCCTCCCTCCTCCTCCCCCCTCTCCCTCCTCCCTCCTCCTGTTTGAGATGTTGTGTTTTTAGAGTTGTTGAAGTTACTTTTAGAGTTTATTGCTCTAGACTTGAGAAAAATAAAAAAGTTTTTTTTTTTAAAAACACCTTAAACTCAAATAAAGCTCTAGTTATTTCAAA